CTGACCAGTGATCTCTCTTATTCTTTAGAACATTTCTCCTGCAGCCTCTTCTCCTTGGCTTTTTTAAATTCCTCTTTGTAAAGGTTGTTTACCAGTTCACATTGTACGGGGTTCTGTTTTGAGACTTTTTTGAGACGTTTCCATAGCAGGTCTTTGAGCTCTGTGTGGAATCAGCGTGATGAGGGCTTCTTTTCTAGTGTCGAGGTGATCTTAGCAGATGCTTCTTGGATACTCTCAATGAAGGCAGCAAAAGGATGGCCAATGCCATTGTTAGGAGCTTCTGTCAGATAAAAAAAACTCTTGTTTAAAGTTTTATTGCACCTCTTGGTTAGTCTGCAATGCACCGAGTTCAAAATTTGGGTCAATCTTCGCTTTCTTCAACTGTTTGAGGGATAATCTAAATTTTATTATTATCGGGTTGTGGTCTGAATTTGCGTCTGCACCCGGGTTTGCTACGGAGTCTTCGATCGTATTCCGTTATCTTGAACTGATCAAAACATAATCGATTTGGTTTCTGGTTCAATCCATGTATATCGTCGTCTGGGGTGTCCATTAAATCAGATGTTTGTGGTGACTAAATGTTTCTCTTTACACCAATCTATATATCTATTTCCGCACTCATTCGTTCCTCCAGACCGTGCGGTCCAATAGTCTTCCCATCTCTCTCTGAACCAACTTTAGCATTAAAATCACCCATGACAATCATGATATTGTTTGATTTAAAAGATGAGAATAGTTCATTAAGAGAGTTGTAGACGCTGTCAGTTTGTTGGTCTTCAACATCTGCAGTAGGAGCACATGCTACTTGGATTTTTACATTTACAGGACTAGCTTTGTTTTGGGCCGGAACAACAGAACAGACATTGTTTTTTGTTTTTGCTTTTGCTTATCGTCAAGAACCAGAGCAACTCCATGTTTGTATTTCTCCTGAAAAGAGGTCCTTCATAAAGTCGCCAGCACTAGGCCATCTGACTTCACACAAACCTAAGCAATGGTCATTCATTCTGTCCATCTCTATGAGAACAGTGTCCAATTTTCCAGTGTGATATAAACTTCAAATGTTCCATGTTCAGATCTTGGATATTTTGATCTTAAGCTTTTGACCGATATGATCTGTTGAATGCAGCTTCCTGGTGCGGATTCTACAAGACAATTTTGTGAGGCCCCGTTTACACCGTTCTGTTTATTTTCATTGTTTCGACTTGACATCATACAGTTGGTTGTTTTTTTTATACTGAGGCGGGTGACCCATGATCCTTCACCAGGGGAGTAGTTGGTTAGGTTATCATTGTTGGTGGTTCCCAACCCACTATCGTATCTACGATAGACTCACCCACTACCGTATCTATGTTAGGCTTACCAAATATATACAAATCCGTGTGTGAGCTCATGTGTGTATGAATGCACAAACACATTCATATGCGGTTGATTAAGGAGGGCATCCAATCAGACAAGGGTGATACTGCCATAAAACTTCTCAATAGTGAATTGAGAGAGGCCTATGTCCTGCAGTGGAATGAATGGCGGTTAAAAAAATATATATATATGTATAGATAGATAGATAGATATATATAGACACACACACACACACATACACACACACATACACACACACACACACACACACACACACACACACACACACACACATATATATATATATATATATATATATATATATATATATATATATATATATATATATATATATATATATGCATATATGCACATACATATATGTGTATACATATGTATACTGTATATGTGTGTGTATATGTATGTATATACACATATGCATGCATATATATATATATATATATATATATATATATATATATATATATATATATATATATATATATATATATATATATATATATACGTGTGCATGTGTGTGTGTGTATATGTGCAGACAGACAGAGGAATGAGGTCTGAGGTACAGAAAGAGAGAGTTTCACAGATAGATAGATAAACACAGAGAGCGAGAGAGAGCGAGAGCGAGAGAGAAAGAGATAGAGAGAGAGAGAGAGAGAGAGAGAGAGAGAGAGAGAGAGAGAGAGAGAGAGAGAGAGAGAGAGAGAGAGAGAGAGAGAGAGAGAGAGAGAGAGAGAGAGAGAGAGAGAGAGAGAGGGAGGGAGGGAGGGGGGGATGCATATGCAAAAGTAAAGATCAGATATAAAGATATATAACTAGATATGTAGACACACACTCGCGCGCGTGCGTTTGTACACGTGTAGATAAAAAAATATACACGTCATTTACGTCTACCGTATATGTACACACAAAGATATGTGCGGCAGGAGGCCAACCTCTTTGTTGTGGCTTGCCTGGTGTCGGCTCTCACGCCAATGGAGCCCCTGAGTGACACACTGAACGAGCTGAACTTCAGATCTTCCTCTGCCAGGCGTGTTTTTGCTGAACATGCCAGAACAATCTATTCTGAGAGACTTTGTGCATCATGCTCTGTCATTTACGAGCGTATAAGAAACGGAGTTGCAGT